GAGTTTCTGTGGAAATTTATGAATTAATTTGTTTTTTTTTTTAAATAACTATACCTATATTTATCTCAGACTCGTATGAATGGTGCCCAGAAACAAGAGTAATTATTGAAAGCATATAGTCTCTTGGGACATTTGGAAAAAAAATATTATGAGAGTAAAATTATCTTTTCAATTTTTACGATGCGCACGCATACCGCCAAAAAGCGACATGATGAAGTTAGCTGAAAGCGACATGAACTTAGCTGATAACAGCTGTTTGTTGTCACTTGCCATGGTAACCGTTGTTATTGCCTGACAAATTATATATGATGTTCTCCTGACCGATTCCGGCTACGGCGGCCAATCTCATTGAGACTAGCCAACTGTGCAGGAGATATTATAGTGCTCAAGTGTACGAGCAGACACAAGTGCACTCTCTATTCCTTTCACTCTCATACTCCGGTGGGACGACTGTTCGACACGATCGGTGAGAGTTAAGGCGCAGGACCGACGGCTTTACGTGCTCTCCGAGGTACGGGGGTTAAACACCGCCAACTTCCCAACTCTGGGCTGTTACTGAGGCTTATTATACAGAAAGACTCAATAATTAAACTTGGCCCGACCCGCGACTCGAACCCAGGACCTCCGGGTGTGTAGCCGTACATGCTAGCCACTACACCAACGAGGCAATTAAATTATATATAATACTAGCAGAACCCGCGGCTTCGCTCGTGCTAAAACTACAAAAAATCTCTAAAAAGGTAGTTTCATACATAATTTCGTCCCCTATTTTACCCTCTTATAGAATGAATTTCGAAAAATGCTTAAGCACGTATTTATTTAATTTTTTTGAAGAACATTAATACCAAGATTCAAGTAATTCTGATCAAAAATATTCTTTGGATTATATTATAACGTGTTTTCCCGTGGGAATGAGATAATCTCCCGCGGTAAAAAGTCACTCTATGTCACTCTCCAGCCCTCTAACTAACTATCTCCACACCAAAAATTACGCCAATTCGTCACTCTGTTTCGACGTGAAAGAAGGACAAACAAACAAACACACTTTGACATTTATAATATTAGTATGGATTATATTTTTTCCTTAAATGATATACTATACATTTATGATTGTAATATGCCTTATTTAATTATTTTATTAATTTATCATTCCTCGTACATACAGAGAGTTGTGACATACGGGATTAAATCTTTAGCTATTTTTGTTCTGTTACGCTAAAGAAGTATAACTTCTTACGTACGTAAATAAGTACACACTACACTACACACGTTTTTTTAATTATAATAATAATTATATATTAATTAATTATTATAATAGTAATATTTAATAATAATAAAAGAATTGAATTGAATATGACAAAACAGATCAGTGACTTTATTTCCACTATTTGTCGACCGATTTTCTTTTGTTCGTTTAGTAACTATTGAAGAATTTTAGTGCTATCAATATTTTTGTTGGAAACGGTTAGTTTTTTTTAAATAATGATTATAAAGGCGATAATAAGTGTCTTTGTCTGCCTGCTTAGTTTTCCTTTTTAACATCTCAGCCGTATTTGATTGAATATTTAGAACAATATTTCTTCTAAATAAAAAAAACCGTTAAACTAGTACCTAAGATGCGAATAGGCATAGATACAGTGTCCAGCAGTGGGATGTGTAACTTTCATAATATATAATGTGATAATAACAATGAAATTCTCCTCATTTCTAATGCATACTGATATGTTATCGGAGGAAGAACGCATCCTTGTTTATTCACTTTGTTTGATAACAATGGTTCAAAGTTCTATATGCTAAAGTAATGCATTAATGTTGTTAAATAAATGTATTATTATTAGAAATTTACTACTTGTTTTTATAAGAAAAAAATATAAAAAATTGAGGTATACTCATAGTAAGCGTTTTGCTAATAATATTTAATAACTAAATACGTAATTTTTTCCTAAAAACTCTTTTCAAACTAGTACATTTAAAAATAGCAAATGTTGTTCTCTAGTGATACGCTTGCCAATAAACATCATTTTTGTTTTTATAGACTATCATTAGATATTAAACATAGACTTCGAAACGATCTAATAAGTATTTAATCCAGAATATTTTTTTTTAATTGTTGTATTACCTTAAAGACCATACATTGACCATAAACAAAAAAAAAACTATTTACACTACACAATAGGCACAGTATCCTGTAACATACAAAATAAAATTGTCAAAATCCAAACCCCCTTGTCATGAAATTGGTTAAAAAGACAAATGTAAGTTAGAAGTAATGATTGTTCATAAATAATAATAAACAAAGCTTTGAATTTGAATAAACCGTTTAGGGCGTATACACATGATGCGTATAGATCGTGACGATTGTAATATAATTAGACTTTTTACAGACTTTAGTTTACAAATTCGTGTATAGATATTTGTGATAAAAACTTAATATTTTATAAAAAAATCATCTTCAGGAATTTTTATTCATAGAGTAGGGAAGAATAAATAAATTGACAATGAAAATACACGTTTAGTTAAAAAAGCTTGTGTATCTCCATGTTTTATTTAGTGTGCTGATATTTTATACACCATGTCATAATAACTATTATCTTAATTTAACTTTTAAATCTTAAATTGGAACATAATGTATATTAATATAATCTGGAGGAGGGCGTTAATGATTACGACACAGTTTTAAACTAATGTTGTCTTTATCGAACATAATTTTATAAATTGTAATCTTTAAAACGTATCCCATAAAGATTTTTATTATTATTTACTTTATTTATAGTAAGGGCTGACGTCTAAAGAACTAGTTTATTCATATCAATGTACCTTAAAACTTGTAATCGTTTTCATTTTTATGTTATTATTAAATATCCTACGATCAAAAAAGTCTGTGAAAAATCACGCCTTAGTTATAAACCTCGAAAATTATTTCAACGGTAGTTACGTAAACTAGTGCATACCTGCCCTTAGATTAAGGTATTCGCAGGTACCGTGTCCGATAGCCAGATAGCCTAGCAGGTTGTGAAGCTATAAGATACTAGTTGTTTAGAAATGTATGGTGCAAGAGATTCTAACACTAATAAATCGTTGTGCGCTTACTTTACCTCATTAATAACGTATATTCCTCGACTGTCTCGATGGTGTAGTGCCTAGCATGTACGGCTGCACATATGAAGGTCCTGGGTATGAGTACTGCGTCGTCCAATTTTAGAGTCTTTCTGTTAAGAAAGTCTCAGTAACAGCGCGGAATTGGGAAGTTGGCGGTGATTCACCACCGTGTCTCGGAGAGCACGTAAATTGTCGGTCCTGCGCTTTAACTTTCACGGGTTGTGCGAGTTAAAGTATCGTTTCATCGGAAAGAAAGAAAGGTTCTCCACAACCTCCCGAGCCCCACACTTAAACCCGGGTATATATACAGAAATATTTATGTATTTTGTGTTGCCATTCTGATTATTTTCCTTTAAAGTAGAGATTTTCCATATAAATCTATATAGGTAGTATTATAAAAATGGTATTTTTTACGTACAATTAAAAAAATAGCTAGTCAATGCAACCATCAGTGCCATCATTTGATATTATAATATACCGACTCATCTTTGCTTGCTTTAGACGAGATTAGTAAGCTTTTTGCAATGCAGCTTTAAGCTTTGAAACATATATGTTATATGTACACATATAACATATATATGTTTCAAATATAGATATAAGAAGAAGCCGTCACTTTCAACAAAGACTTTTTGGGTCCATAGAGTCTATGTGTAAGCAAACACTTGCAAAATGTCATAATTAGGTAATTTAAGCTAGTTAAAAAATAACTATATACTTTAAATTATTTCATTTAATTAAGTATAACATCGGGAAAAAATGCTAGACAACATATTCCAGTAAGAAAGTTAATAGAATTGATAGCGCTATTGTAATAAATTAACCGAAACTTATCTGTTTTCTCCACATGCGCTTGATAACGAGGACTTTATATACATAAATAGTTATTATCTAACAAACAATACAAGTGTCTGCAGTCTGTACTAAGAACTGTCAAAATTATATATATATATATTAGACTAGCATTGCTCGCGGCTCGGCCCGCGTTTAGATGACCAACCAAATTTTAAGGTTTTACATATTACTATACTCTTACCTTGCAGTTTTTGTATTTTTTCTCAGGAATGAGACATTTTCCCGCGGTAAAAAGTATCCTATATACTTACCCGGATCACCGGCTATTACCATACCAAATTTCATCAAAATCTCTCCAGTGGTTTTTCTGTGATGCGGTAACAAACAGACAGACAGACATAATTCTAAAAACTATAGATTCGGAATCTGTATCGATAATAATGTCTATTTCAATAAGTTTTCCAAAAAATATTTAATGTACAGATTCGGCTTAGTTACAATTTTATCATATGTATATAACAACAACTATCACATTTAAATATTGATGACATACATAAGTGTTTACGTTGGTTGGAACAAAATATATGCATGGTACATTGATATATAAAACTAAAAACATGTATATTAATTGTATAATATTAAAATTTGGACATGTTTTTAAATGTATTGAGAGCGGATGGAATAATTGTAATAAATAATTGTATAAGTCAGTGAAACTTTATAATAATTTTCAGCGTCTCTGGTTTTCCTTTGCATTAAAGTTTCAGAAAGGACGTTTTTTTAACTTAACAAATATCATACGACATAGCGCTAGCTTATTTTCGCAAAATATTCATAAATTATATAATAAAACCTTACTACATAAACCTTGTTTCTATAAGTACAAACAGTATGAAAATTCTTTTGTTTCTGAGATTAGCCCGAACAGACACACACTGAGTGCGACTGTGGCTTCAATTTATAATTCTATTTAGTGATTTAAAAAATAAAATGATATCGTTTAAAATATAACGTTTCTAAAAAGAGTCTTTAATTAGCTTATGCTGTATGTCTATGCATGTCAAAGTAAAGTAGAGATGATTCAATGATATTTTTTTTCTATTTTCCAGAGATAAGATATGCAGCTACGTGGAGATCCCCATCCTGACAAGATGCTGCTTCTGCTTGCCGCTGAGGAAAGGCCTCATTGCTTTCGCTTATATCAATTTGGTATGTATCCTGTTTTATATAAATAAGACAGTGGTAACTCAGTGGAAAAGCGCTTGCTTGGGAAACCAAGTAAGCGGGTTTGAATCCCAGGTCTCGCACCTCTGATATTTTCATGTGTGAATTTCCAACGTGATTAGTACTTGCCTTACGGTGAGGGAAAAAATTATAAGGAAACCCGTATGTCTGAGAGGACCTAGCAAGTTTTCAAAACACATATAAAGTCCGCCAACCATTTGGCCAGCGTAGTAGATGATCCCAACTCAAACAACATCATGATTTTACTTGGTTCGCCTCGTACTGAAGTTTTTATTCAATGTTATTAATAACAGAAGCTAATGTATTATTTCAGATCGTACTCTACCTATAAACTAAATTTCGTTGTGAAGGACAGTCATAATAACAAGAATGTTCATGATAATGCATTTTTACTGCTTTAATATCTTTAAATAAATACACTTTGAATTTTCACTTTTTAGTGTGTGTGTATGATATTGCGTGTTCACTGTAGTTGTGTGTGCAGACAGATAATAAATTTACATATATTTGATATATTCACTACAAAGCTACAAATATCCCTAGCACAATATATATTTTTATAATAATAAGGACTCACCTTTGCTTTGCTCGGTTTTGTCCCTAGTTACGTTTTATCGTTTAGTATAGATTTCTCAGAGATGAGATATTTTCCCGCAGTAAGAAGTATCCTATATGTTGACCCGGATAACGAGCTATTATCTTACTAATATCAAAATCCCTCCAGTGATTTTTCCGTGAAGCGATCACAGACAGACCGACAGATGGATAAAAATTCTAAAAACTATAGATTCGGCCTCTGTATCGACAATAATTACTATTTCAATAAGATTTTACAAAAAATATTTAATATACAGATTCGACTCAGTTTTTATATATATCCTGTCTGTCTGTGAACGCATCACGAGAAAACCCCTGAATAGATTTTTTAGATGAAGTTTGGTATGATGATAGCTGGATATCCGGGTCAACATATACAATACTTTTTACTGCGGGAAAATATTTCATCTCTGAGAAATCTATACCAAAGGGCTAAATAAATAAATTTATTACACCGCGGTGAAGTAAAAAAAGTAGCTCGAAAATAGGAGAAATTTTGCGTAACAGATTTTTACTCTTGGAATTTCGCAATATCTTTCAACTCAAAGGTGTGAAATTCAACATTTCTGTGAATATTGAAATGATTTGGACTTTCATTTTAGAAAGCATTTAAATCTAATTTGAATTGTAATTATAATGTTGATAATTGATTTGATTGTTTCGACTCTTAACTTCAGCCAGAAAACAATATTAGAATTTCTTTATCATATGAATTTATAATAGCGGGTAATAATTATAATAGCGACATGTTTGGCTCAGTGTGTAGTGACTCTACTTGCTATGCCAGGGGTCGCAGCTTCAAATCCCGCGATAGAAGATGACGTCCGAACTAATAGGTCATCCTGTTAGAGTACATTATGAGAATATAGTCTGAGATATATTTATATCTTAGAAATCAGAATGATATTGGCTGTTTTCCCGGAATGCATAATAATGATTCATATAATTTGTATTTATGGAACCAAAACAACTAGATATAGACACTACGTAAAACTAGATAAAATTAATGTTGTGTTACTCTTACAAATACTATGCTGTACATTTTCCTTTTCAGATGCTTACGCTGGCAGTTACCTCAATGCTCTCGATGTACATCACCTCGGTACGAACATCGAACCTAGACCTTCAAGACGAGTCCGAGTACCCGCGCCTCATCGCCGATACCACAGCTCTCGTGCTAGAAGTCACTATGACTCTCATTTTCATCGTTGCTTTGCATAGGGTAAGGTACTAAATTATTTAATAACAATGGTTGTAGTCTTATGTCTAAGAATCTACATATATGTATGTATACATACGTACATATTATATGTAAGCTTCCGAACCAATATTAATGAAAAAAATATATAAATTCTTGCTAGTTAAAAATAAGTTCCTAAATAGAAATTCTATTAAGCAATTGATTTAAATGTTTTTTTGCATAAAGATCATCGTCATTCCATGCAAAATTCTCTTAAAACTGTTACCAATTGTGTTTAGGTAATTATTCTAGTTTAAATAAATATACAACAATGTAAATTGAACCTTAAATGCAACGCTTAAAGTTGTTTGCTACTAAATTGAAAGCGCGTTCAAATGTACAAATGAGCGCTTATTCGATGAGGACATTTTTTGTCGCTGATTGTGTATTTAGTACTTTTTTGATCGATGATACACTATAATGGGTTGGAAAGTGCTTTAGAGCGCAATTTACCACGACTTTTATTTTTAACTAGCGACTTATCCTCACTTTTCTTAGTTTCCCTAGGTTCCTATTAGCCTGAGTTACTTCAGGTTACACTCTGTCTCAAATAACTAAGAACCATATGAGAGTATCATTGAACTAAACATTAAAACCAAACAAATTATATTTTAATAATACAAAATACAAATATCTTTACATAGTATAAAATGTAGTCGCTTCCGCCTTAGGCCTTAGGCCGCGCTTAGGCCTTGGATGTTTTAAACTACTCAACGGATTTTAATGCAGTTTTCAGCAATAGATCGAATCATCGAGAGAAAGGTTTACATGTATAATACATGCATATTACAGTACGGAAAAGCCAAGAAATTCAAAGATTTGTATTTCATAATAACCGTTAAAACGTATTTAGGGACGTACCCGAGCGAAGCCGTGAGTCGCTATTTAATTATAAGTAAATACATTTTACTAAATAATAATAGCTAACAGATTTTATAAAAATAAAGAAAAAATAATTAAGCTTATATGGTGCTATCTCTTTCAAGGAGAAAAGAAGTAATGCTTAAAATACAATTGAATATAAATTAAATTTTTATTCTTCATATTATCTTCTTAAAAATTGTACATCAGACAAATACCTATATAATTTTTTTCCTATTCTTTAAAGAAACAAACAATCCGTGTGGCTATATCAAGAATAGTAGCATAAACGCAAAATCACGTTACTTTTTTGAATTTTGATATTTTTTGCGGGCTCCGTATATATATTCTATAGTACTTTATGTACTAAATTTTATTTTAATTGTTTCAGCCGTTTTGCCTAAAAGAGTAGAAACGTACACATACCAATATCAAATTTACAATATTATTCTATATGTTGTGACATGAACTTATTTTAAATATCACATTACAGAAACACGTGCTGCTAATGAAAATATACCTGTATTTTGAAATCATATTTTCGGTCATCGGCTTCGTGTACAGCCTCGCGTTCCTCACGAAGGAGACCGCCAGCGAGCTATTCTTAATACTTTTCCAATTAAGTAAGTACTTTATTACCTATCTATATAATCTGTCTGGTTTATTACTCTGTTCACGCACAAGAAGATTAGGAATTGGATCCTGGGAAAAAAACATGGGTTTTTAAAAAGAATAAAATGGTAAAATGCGGAAAGAAATCTGATATATTAAATCGTTCTTATATTTAAAAACTAAAAATATTGCACTTCCGTGAAGAAAATTATGTATTTATTAAAACTTATGATTATACAATGAAATAATTTAATTGGAATAATCATTAGTGTTGAAATTAAGAGGTCTTCAGAATTATTCGGAATTAGAGTTTTCTGAACAAATATTAAGAGTGGAATTTCCTATTAAAATGTATATCGTACCTCAAGGTACAAACCATTCATTAATGAAAGAATATCGAAAATTCATTATGTTTTAAGCTCTAAAAAGTGGAAACATAATATAATTATTATTAAAACATACTTTCTTAGATTTAATTTTATTAAAATTATAAAAATTGTAAGCTACTTTGGTGCCATTTTTGTATTTCTGAAAATCATTTTATAATTTTGTGGGTAGTTGCTGACTGTAACAACTATAAAATGCCTTTGAGACGTCGAAAACCTTAGTCTCTCCTGTCACCATGTGCGCTGTAACGCGTTCAAAATGTCGGGAACCAAAAATCAAAATAAGTCCGCGAAAAAAATGGAAAAGATATTATTTACTATTCTTACATACATATTCTGTACATAGCAAAAAAGTGCTAAAAACCGAGTCAGGGGGATGTAAGAAGACAAATAGAACAAATCCAGAATTTTTTCAAATTTTTTGTTTCTCTGTCTGTTTGTCTGTTTGTACGGGCTAATCTCCGAATCTATTGGATCGATTTAAATGTAATTTTGCACGGTGGTTCCTTATATCCCCGGACAACATCTTAGATACTTTTTATCCCGGAAAATTAAATAGTTCCCGTGGGATAGTTAAAAAACTATTGTATCTTATACAACTTAGTCCACAACAACTTATGCACCTAATTTAGTAAAATTTAACATTTGATACCTTATATTGCCAGTCAAACAACAGCCTTTTCATGCCGGAAAAATGAACGGTTCCCGTGGGAACGAATAGATCTCTATTAGTGTTTTTACTGACCGCTAGTAGTAAATATATAACTTACATTGTTTCTATGATTACAGTGGTACAAATCTACTTGGTGATACTGATTTGGAGCTCAATTGTGAAGATGCAGCGAGATGGGACCGTCAAGTACACGCGAGAACAGGACGCCGTGTAGCCACCACTAACTAATGCTTTGCAGAAACTTACTAATTATAATCTATTTAAAATATTACTAAACCAACTTTGATCACGTTTTAAGGGACCAATAGGTAGTTGTTTTTACCGTTGTATTAGAAAATATTTCTAGGTCCTTTTGAAGTCGATCAGGCTTCAGAGAGTGGCAACATATAAAAAAATACATTTTTTTTCTAAAATGAAATTTTCTTATGACAGTTTTCATTAAATAAAAATTTAACGCTTCAACATTAGAATATCTATAGAAGTCATAACTTTCTTATGTGTAAAAATTGTGCCTTAAACGCTAATTTTAATAAAACCTTAATAAAAATATTTTTGGACGAATTTAATAATAACTTGTATACTTTATTTTGATACAATAGTAGAGTAAAAAAGAGAGTTATATTGAAAATTAAGTTACCTTAGAGTTTACAAGTAGCCGTGCTCAAGCTAACTACAGTATAAAAATGTAGCACTTGGCTTGTTCCAACTGACATTACTCTTCATATTATGAGTCGTTATAATGATATTATAGTAATTAGTTCTCATAAACGTCCTTATTCGAACTATCAATACGTAAAAGTTCCATTTAAAACGCACTCGCGACCGACTATCGTAATCTGTCACGAGTCAATTATTTTTCATATTTTTGAGAGGTTATAAATATTTTAGATTATAGTTAATTATTGAATATTTTATTATTATTATTTAGGAATATTTTGTAAATAAGACGTATTAATGTATTGTTGTAAATTGTAAAGATTATCGAATGTTATTACAGTGTAGAGTGTACGCCAAATAAATATTTTTCAATAACAACATTTTTTTCTTTTAATTATTCCATAAGAAACAGATTCCAAATTGAAGTAAATAATGTACCACTACACAAATAACGATAATTGATTATATTTCTATAAATAAATTATTATTCGAAAATAAAGTAAGAGTAAATAAAACAATTATTATTTGAAAAATATGTTTTCATTATTAATAATAATTTAAGTTACAATTCCATAAAATCTTTTATTTTCCATTTAACTCTCAGTACATAAGCCAGCTTAAAAATCATAAATGTATAAAAATATTTCTTGGAACTACTTATTTATTTATGTAAAATTAATATAAAAAATTATAATAAATAATATAAAATTGGCTAAAAAACGCTAATAAATAACAAAAAATATATATTAACCGACTTGTGTTTGTTATTATCAAATATCAAGCAGCATTATACCAGTTCTCACTATGGACAAGGTCTCGTAGCCGTTCTTTCTCCTCCCAGCGCCTCTCTTCCAGCTGCTTGTAGAAGCTGGACACTATCATCAACATGTAGAAGCGGATCACTGCAAATGCCAAATTTTATAATTTACTAGCATTGCCTACGGCTCCGCCCGCGTTCAGATGACCGAAAACCAAATTCTTAGGGTTTACATATCAGTATACTCTTACATTGCAGTTTTTGTATTTATTCTCAGAAATGAGATATTTTCCCGCGGTAAAAAGTATCCTATACGTTGACGTGGATATCCAGCTATTATCATATCAAATTTCATTAAAATCTGTCCAGTGGTTTTCTCGTGATGCGGTAACAAACAGACAGACAAAAATTCTAAAAACTATAGATTCGGCTCTGTATCGATAATAATATTTATTTCCATAAGATTTTTCAAAAAATATTTAATGTACAGATGCGGCTTAGTTACAATTTTATTATATGTATAGATTTAATGCCAAAGTTTTTAATTCCTTACGTCATAATAATTATTATAAATGCCAATATTTGTATGTGTATGACGTGTGTGTATGTTTGTTTATTACCTCGCAGTAACAGTAAGTAGTTTTATAAGGTCCCTTATAAAACTTCGAGATATTCCTTGGTTATATCCTTATATTCAGTACTTTTATAATCGTCAGTGAGTTACATAATTTATATATTATAATCGTAATTTTCAGTATTACAAACAATTCGTGCCTAGTCACTACATGGTGGTACCGACATCTCTGTGCAAAAGCGCGGAAAAATAAATGAATATCCGCGCCCTTTTTTATTTTTTTTAAACACATTCCTATCGGCCAAGGTCACATAAGTGAATGCCTTATACATAAATCATTACAAATTAGTCAAATATATTATTTTCTATTAAAACACTCAATATATAAAAATGCAACCTTACACTCGTTATTCCTTAATTATAGAAATCATTTATTCAAACTATTAATTCGGCTAAACACCGTTGAGATAGCTGTGTATTTTGAAATGTCAAATCTGAACTCGTATATGTTTTTATAATAATGTTTTTATTGGGAACAACAACGGAACCATTTTTGTTAGTGATGATGACCTTCCCGTTTTTACCTATCACGTAACCATGTTGTAAAGCATTCGAAACGTCAGGAACAATAATTAAAACCAAGATCAAAATAGCGCCTCAGAAATTCCGAAACAATAGTTTCATTTAAAATCTGAAATGTTCGCGTAAACCTAAGAAAGTATTACTGTTGTAATAAGTCCTTGTGTTATATAGTAATCAGAACTCAAGTAGACAACATAAAAAAATCAAATAAAATTAAACCAAAAATTAAAATAAATGGTGCCTGATAAAACATATTAAGCAAATCCACTTAATGATATAATGTCTTCGTTGAATTCGGTTGAAAATAGTAAACAAAATAATATTTTGTAAACGTTTTTTTTGAAACGTAAAAAAGATCATCAGCTTTCTTGGTGTTCTACGAAAGATAACCAAAGAATAATTACAACTAATATAAATACGAGAGTATTTTTAATTTATATAATAATAAAGATATTATAAATTTCTTCCTTTTTTGACCAATTCCAAAAAAATTAGGAACTTAATTTGGTCGGTTAATATGTTACGCTATATAATCACCTAATGCAATCATATAATAATAATTAATTTTTAAATAGGCTACGAGTGATATAGTCATATTTGTACCTACGTAATTAAAACTTAAATCTGTCAATTTTGCTTTTAAAGTGATTTTAACCGAATCATCTTTATAGTTAAAAAGTAATAACTTTTAGATAAATCCCATTCCATTCATATTATAAATGCGAAAGTTTTGATGGATGTTTGTTACTCGATCACGCCGGAATGGCTGAACGGATCTGGATGAAATTTTACACAGAGAAAGAATAGGTCTGAAATAGCACATAGGTTACTTTTCTGGTAATGTACGGTTCGCTACGTGGGACATATTTGTTTTTGTTTTTCACTAGGGAACACGAGCGAAATGAAGGTGAGTTGAAAGTTGGAATTATATATATATAAACCAACTTACTCAATCCTAAGAACTCCACAATGTATATCAAGAGAGAGTTATTATTGAAGTGGTTGATCATGCTCAGAGTTATCCAAAACACGTAAACCATCACCGACACCGTCACCAGTATCGAGGTCCAGATCACCCAAGGTCTCATAAGACTGGCTTTTTCCTAAAATATGAAATATAAACTGTATTACCGGACTACTATAATAATAAATGAGAAAGGTTATGTGTATATGTTTTTTACGTCTTCACGCTGACATGGCTAAATAACTTAGGATAAAAGTTAGCACATAGACAAATTACGTAACATAAGCTACTATCATTAATGCGATTTGCCAAAAAGTAGCGCAGTAAGTTTTTTATATTATCTCATCTTTTGGGAAATAAATGATTTTTAAACCTCAAAAGGTATCTAGGGATGCGGCTAAATGAAGCGAGGATACGTGGCCAGTAAATATAATGTGAAACCCACCCACCTTCAACACGCCAATTGACATTAGCGTGCTTAGAAATAGAGTGACGATATGAGCAATGGCGACTCCGAACACAACAGCATAAGCCACTATAGTATCGAAGTCGCCCGGCGACCAGTGCGGGAGTTCATTCAGCGCCGCCAGGCATTGTGCTAGTGCAAATATCGAGTATAACTGAAATCAAAACAAAAAGATCTACATAGTAATAATCTTCAAAATTATAAAATTATTATTATTAACATAATAAAAACCTAAGTAAATTACTTACAACCAAAATGAGGGCTGACAAAATACTGCCAAATTTCAGGGAGAGGCATCCCACACCCGATTGCCTCGGGATATTCTCCATAGAAAACGGAAATCCTGAAATATTGAAGAAATTTAATTACACGTTGCTGGTTCGCTGTTTGGTAGAATCTAGTTACGACGATAGCCGTCTTATATGTGACTAGACAGATTCAAAGTTAAAATATGAAAAATAAAAATATAGTGGTGGCACACCATTCGTGGAGGCAAATATCATCATTGTGCGAATCATTTCCAAAATGGTTAGCACTTGGCTTACGGTAAAGGAATATCACAAGGAAATCTGCGTGCCTGAGAAAGCCTAGCAAGTTCTTAAAAGGCATATGAAGTCCGTCAACTCGCACTTGGCCAGCACAGTAGACTATAAACTGATCGCCCTCGTATAGAGGGCAGAGGGCAAGGTAGGCTCGTGCCCAGTAGTGACCTTAATAAGGACTGAATAAACACGCCATTCGTGTATCTAAAGTATGAAAAAAGTTTTCAGTGTGTTGAACGTAACTTTGGATTGGACTTCAAAAATAAAGTTTTTACATAACTTTAATAATTTCCATACTATATTGAAACTCTTCAACATGGAAATAACCTCAAGACACTATTGAAAGCAGAAGCAAATCGAGTCAATCATTATTATCGAACACTGATATTTTTTAAAATCCAATATGAAAATCAAAAAATATATTATCTACATAGAAATTGCAGAGCAAATATAAAACAAAATTATAAAAAAATAGTTTATCCTTTGTCATTTTTAATATGATATACAAACATTAAAGTGTAGGTGAAAGGAGGCGAAACGTGTACCTATTTTCATATAATTATTTGGAAAGCAGGTATCTATAGGGTCACGTCGATAAGATTGCCTTATCTTACATACTCGTAGGACATCAATACGATGAAAGAAACAAATAAAATATGTGACTCATATAATATGGTAATAGTTACATATTGACCTCTAATGTCCAATATTATTAATTTCAACTGTTCTAAATGAAATTGAAATAGAGAAAGAAAATATATATATATGTAAATAAACAATTAGTGTGTTTATCCGTATGTTTACATTGATGTTAGTAATGTAACATCGGTAAGTCTTTTTACGTACGCCCGCATTGTGTCTGGCGTAGTATGTACCATCTGCCACAGTAGGTACATCTAATTTCTAAAATTAATAAGACTAAATACAACATAAGTATATAGTATAAGTACGTATTGCGTATATTTTTGTTTTTTTTTAAATTACAGAAACTCTGTTCTCTTTCTATTGATTTTAAAACATAATTAGAGGACAAGCGCTAGATATAGTACCTAAGTCTTAGTTCTTACGTTTTGTTGTTTTTTAAGCACCTTTACACATCTTCAAGGCTCATTAAATTAATACTTTCTTAGATTTACGCGAATATTTGACATTTTAAATAAAACTATCTTTTCGGATTTTGTCGCGGATTTATTTGGATTTTTGTTTCCCGACGTTTCGAATGCTTTACAGCATCCATGGTCACGGGAGAGACTGAGGTGTTACATGTCTTGAGTGTATAGTTGTTACAGACAGCCTACCCACAATTAACAAAATGAAAATTGCACCAATTACATTACAATATTTTTTAACTTTAAACATTTTTATAATTTTAATTATAATTGAATATGGAAAATTATTTATTTAATTTTGCTATTATTTTTATAATTATTACAATTTTAAAATATTAATTAGTAATCTATATTTAGTGTTGCCATTATTATATTTATAACCATAAAGAAAAATATAAAATGTAGTATTAATTATTAAAGCCATATAATTGTTCTATGTGTAATTTAAAAAAGTTAAAATTAATTAAGGATAATAATTTTAATTTAGTTTGCTATTTTTTAAAAACAACTTACTAAGCAACACTATTAATATATACTTTTACAAATGAAAATGAAAAATATTAGTCTTATAAGCTGTCATTTTGATCTACACAGTATAAACTTACTACATCTGCCTGTCTGTTATGTTTATATTTATTATTTGATTTTATTATATTAATAACAGGATCCCATGACGATGTTAGTACCCAGCCATCTTCCCTATTAAAATTAGGATGTTTTTTAATTTCTATGGCTTCTCGAATCATTCTAGGGCGATATCGGTTTTCTTTCGCCAGGATTTGAGGTCTATCGAAGCGAATATAATGGCTTGGGCGGTCCTGACTATGTTTGCAGACAGCAGATGTTGCATTGCGACGGTGCTTCACATCAGCTATGTGTTCTTTGACCCGGGTTCTAATGGATCTCTTTGTTTGTCCGATGTAAGAGAGCCCACAATCACAATCAAGCTTGTAAACTCCTGCATCTTGTAGAGGGATGTGGCACTTGACAGGTGGTAGAAACTGACTAATTTTCTTTGGCGGCTTGAAGTAAGTTTTAATTGAAGCTCGCTTTAGAATGTAGCCAATCTTGTCAGTGACTACCTTACATGAGAGGCGTCACTGACAAGATTGGCTACATTCTAAAGCGAGCTTCAATTAAAACTTACTTCAAGCCGCCAAAGAAAATTAGTCAGTTTCTACCACCTGTCAAGTGCCACATCCCTCTACAAGATGCAGGAGTTTACAAGCTTGATTGTGATTGTGGGCTCTCTTACATCGGACAAACAAAGAGATCCATTAGAACCCGGGTCAAAGAACACATAGCTGATGTGAAGCACCGTCGCAATGCAACATCTGCTGTCTGCAAACATAGTCAGGACCGCCCAAGCCATTATATTCGCTTCGATAGACCTCAAATCCTGGCGAAAGAAAACCGATATCGCCCTAGAATGATTCGAGAAGCCATAGAAATTAAAAAACATCCTAATTTCAATAGGGAAGATGGCTGGGTACTACCATCGTCATGGGATCCTGTTATTAATATAATAAAATCAAATAATAAATATAAACATAACAGACAGGCAGATGTAGTAAGTTCATACTGTGTAGATCAAAATGACAGCTTATCAGACTAATATTTTTCATTTTTCATTTGTAAAAGTATATATTAATAGTGTTGCTTAGTAAGTTGTTTTTAAAAAATAGCAAACTAAATTAAAATTATTATCCTTAATTAATTTTAACTTTTTTAAATTACACATAGAACAATTATATGGCTTTAATAATTAATACTACATTTTATATTTTTCTTTATGGTTATAAATATAATAATGGCAACACTAAATATAGATTACTAATTAATATTTTAAAATTGTAATAATTATAAAAATAATAGCAAAATTAAATAAATAATTTTCCATATTCAATTATAATTAAAATTATAAAAATGTTTAAAGTTAAAAAATATTGTAATGTAATTGGTGCAATTTTCATTTTGTTAATTGTGGGTAGGCTGTCTGTAACAACTATACACTCAAGACATGTAACACCTCAGTCTCTCCCGTGACCATGGATGCTGTAAAGCATTCGAAACGTCGGGAAACAAAAATCCAAATAAATCCGCGACAAAATCCGAAAAGATAGTTTTATTTAAAATGCTCATTAAATTATTCGCCTCGTTTAAGTTTTACGCGTTATCATTTTTACCTATAGATAATAGATACTTTCCTAATTAGGGATATGAAAGAAAGTACACAGTTTCCTCGACTCCACCAACAATAGACACTGATACGTTATCATACAAAGTAATTGTAGAGATAGTAGGTGTATCAAAATTATATTTATTTGTATCTAAAATTAAATACTTTGATATAAGCTAACGTTGCTTTCTTTGTACTTTATACAGCAATGCACTTACAATATACTTGAATGCATTTGGATAACAAAACTTTGATTGAAAAGAGAAACATTTAAGAACTTTGAAATAACTTCGATAGATTTTATTAATTTATACTACAGTATTCGTATAGTAAATTTCCAAGTCTAAAATGCGATGTAAATGGGTGCGCAATAGTCAATATGAATAGCACAATAACACTAGAGCAAAAGTAACAATAGGTAGTAGGTATTTTTTACTCGTGACACTTCATCTACATCTTCTACACCAGACATTCTATAGATTATATTTTAGATCGCAAAATTATAATGCTAGTACTGGGTTGTATCATAACAAGTTTTTCCGTGGGAAAATAATCTCCCGCGGTAAAAGCCTATGTCACTCTCCAACCCTCCAACTCCATACAAAAAATCACGCCAATTCGTCACTCCGTTTTGACGTGAAAGAAAGACAAACCAATACACTTTCATATTTCTAATATTAGCATGGATTTTCATAGGACATCCCCGCACTGTCATACGAAAATGTATAGATATTAGATATATATATATATCTAGTTCTAGCACACGTAAACCTTTTAATCCTAAAATTGTAAAGTGAGAAGCAAATATATCAAAAAGTCCTATCTATGTATAAGTATATGTCTAACAACATCAGTAATTTAAATAGCCAAATATGCAAAAAGACTTACAACTAAAACATGCCAAATATAAAAAAAACACAAAATTTAAGAAATATTTGTCACACTCACTAGACTTCATTTTCCTGTGAAATTTGTCAGATTTTCAAAATAATATTGGATATTTTAGGCGCTGGGTTTTCAAGATACGATATCCTCGACCGAAACAAGAGTGGACACTGATACGTTATCAAAACACACTAATCACAGCTGATAATGGACACTATCGTAATCGTAACCAAATTAGATATTTGTAGATCAGTCATATTTTAAGGATTATAAAGTTCTGCCATTCCTAACTGAAGCTAGATTATAAATAAAATATGTTCGAAATAAGCCCTAAAAGTTCTTATTTGAAGTTTTACAAATTACACATGACCGATAAAAACTCTGCTATAAGTAGATAAGTAAACTTGATTATATATGCGTACTATTTTAGTAAACACAACATGTAATTGTTTTGTACATTGTTTTGTTAAATTGCATTACAATCTTTGTATTCAAATTAAAATATTTTGACACTAGCAAATTCAGGATAATATTTAATGAATTTATTTATAGTAAAAACTTAAAAAAGACTGACTTCCAGTCACTAAAATGTAAAAAATAACTAAACGGGGGTTTTCATTTAGAATAGATACCTAATCAGATATTTTCGAAGTCGTAAAAAGTGAAAACAATATGCACCTACAAATTGTTTTGCTTAATTTAATAAAGTTTTTATTTTCCTCTAGGGGCATAATCGTACTAAATAATACTAATTATACGCTCAAAGTTTAAAATGATTCTTTTCTATATAAAATTTAGTATAGTTTTTCTTTTCACACGTGTCAAGACGTTTTTAACCGACTTCGAAAAGGAGGATGTTCTCAATTCGCATGATTATATTTTTTTTAGGTATGTTCGGGCATAAATCTGTCATACATATATAGACCGATTTGCAAAATTCTTATTTTGTTCAAAAGAGGTTTATTTCGAAAAAGTCCCATTTAAATTTGAAAAAAAAAACCACCACTAAGTGTAGAAAGTAGGAGATAATAGATTTTTTACCTACTGAATTTTTAAAATACTTTCTTTTTTATTTTGCTACTACTATGTTTACAACGAAAGTATAAAAATAAACAAATAAAAATAAAACTGACTTAAAAAAAACACTAAAAAATAAAATATAACCGATTGGTACTTTTCATTTACTATAGAAAATCAGATATTTTCGAAGTCGGTGCCAGTCGATACAAATCAAAGCACACTGATTAGGTATCTATAGTAAATGAAAACTACCAATCAGTTATTTTTTAATTTTTAGTAGGGTTTTTTGAAGTCGGTTGTTATTTTTTTATATACAATATTGTTTTGACTGTTGGATGCCACAAAATGAAATGATCAACGAATTAATACTACTGAGATTTATTTGTTAAACACAATAGGATTTACACATTTTAAAAAGTACAAACTAGACTAATTCATTTTAATCATAAGGTGGGACTGGAAAGGATGAAAGATTACAAAATTAAAAAAAAACTCTTAGAGAGATACTTTTTTCTAGGTTAATTACATGAATTCAAAATTTTAACATATCAACAAACTTCCATACTTTAACATTTTTTATTTTATTTTAACATCGGTGAAATTATTAACACTATAGAAGCTCAGTCTGAATAATATAATAACAATAAGTATATGAATTAAAAGATAAAAGAGGTCGGACTAGATTAATAGATGGAGACCCTTGTACCGCTAAATTACGAATCTATAATAATATATTACAAAGTTTCAAGATAATTGGCATATAGCCTACGACTTAGGGTCCCCAATGTGATCCATGTCCATAGTACGACCCATGTCCATAGCCACCGCCATGTCCGTAACCGTAACCAGAGGAAATAATAGAACCTGATGATATAACCGGTTGTCCCAAAGAAATAACTTTAGACGATACCGCAACTGGTGCCGAGGCTACGGGGACGCCGATAGATTTAAGGCCCCCAAGAGATAGGCCCGATCCAATTCCACTAATGATACCGCTGCCATATCCACCGCTGATGAGACCACCAATGCCACCGGTACCACTACCAATACTTCCGATTCCACCACCAATACCACCAATGCCTCCGCCAATACCACTAGCAACAGCAGCTACAGGAACAGCTACTGGTTGTAGCACTCCTACTGGTACTGGGGCGGGAACACTGACCGCATAAGGCTGAGGCACAGGGATGCCAACGCCCTGAGTCACAGTTACTGGCACGGGTTGAGCCACTGGTACAGGTACGGGGCGATTGATTGGTACCGCTACTGGTCTAGATATAATGTGTGCTACTGGCTGTGGCACAGGTACAGGCACAGGCCGAGGGCTGTCTACTGGCACCCCAACCGGTACTGTTACTGGTACTGGCCTGGGAACATTGACTGGCACAGGATGAGGGATAGGTATTGCTACCTTGTTGTGATATTCTGAATAAGTGTGTCTCGTAGGTATAAGAGATGCAGATGCCTCTCTTTTCTTAGTCTCTGGCTTTGCTTGTACTGCGATGAAGCAGAAAGCGAAGACAATCTGAAAAATAATCGGGGTATTATGATTTAATTACTAAAGCTAAAAATATAAAAAGTAATATATGTAGTACAGATTCGACTATATACAAAATTCTAACAATTCTTTAAGTAGTAGGTAGTTACATTGCCTCCGAGTGCCTTATACTATTTTATAACGATAAAAATGTGGTTACTGTCAAAACGGTTTGAAATAAGGCAATAAAATTTATGCCAAATTGTCATTGTAATCATATTTCACTAGTTTTTTTTAATAAAAATAAAAACGACTTATAATATAACAATTATTCTCTATACAAATTGAAATTGAAATACTGCTAGAATATTTAATGAGGATATATATATATATATATATGTTATATATATATATATATATATATATATATATATATATATATATATATATATATATATATATATAACAAAGATCAATTACCTTTATAAATGACACATTATAAGCAAAATTAATTAATCAAGACTTACAAAATATCGAGACATTGCGATCACTCTGAATCAATCGAAGTGTTGAAGGAAAGTGGTGTAATGCAATAAAGCTTTGATATATATACGACACATGTGATGACGACGGAACTCTACTTTGCACCCCGGCATGGAAGAAAGCGGGAAAATTGTATGTATTTATATGAGTTGCTAATACCATATTTTACGTACACATATTGTGAAGTGACGTACCTACGTTCACGGCATTTTAGAATGAAGTTAAAATAATAAAATTCTTCAGAGAATCCAATATCTTTGGGATTAATAGGCGTACAAAAGATATTGTAGAGCACAAGTGTATGCACAAATACTACTGCATTCTCTACTTTTTTCTCTCAAAATCCGGTGGGACAACATTTTAATACTTATGGTGATTAATCATCAGATTTGATATCTTTGAATGCTTACTTATTGATTACTTATCTAAAATTGTCATCCTACGTTTCATATCATTTAATTTCACAGATTTACCAAATCTAATGTGAAACCTAATATTTCAAAATATAAACGTTATCAGAAGATATTTTTAAGCTAGTTTCTACGCACGGACACCGCGATAAAATAGCGAAAAATAGCTACTTATAACTAAAGCGTGATGACAGCTGTATATTTTAAAATCATCACCATAATTTTAAAGTGTCTGTACAATTCTTATTACATAAAAAATGAGGATGGTATTAACAGCTTTATGTTTACTACTTAACGTCTGCATCGGTAAGCCTTCAAAGGCAAAACAGGTCTAGATTCAGACCAGATGTAAACGTAATAGCCCATAATGGACGAATTATGTAAGAGTCTATTATTGAGTTGAACCCTATGTTTTTTGTCTTATATGTAACTTGTTACTACAAGGCGAATCTCCTGGTCTTGTAATCAATATCTCTTAGAAAACATATTATGAAGTATTTTGAACCGATTTTGGCTTTTGCATCATAACTGAGACTTGCCTCTCTATCAACAAATAGCGTGCAAATATATAAGATCTAACTAACATACATTGTATACTTTTCAAGACGAATAAGTTATAATATAAATTAATAGTATTTTTTTTTATAAAAACAAGCAGTTAAAATCTATTGTTAAGCTTGTTTCTAAAAATGTTTTTTTTTAATGTTATTGATTTATTTATCTATTTTTTTTATTTTACAAGTCATGGCGTGGGTGCCCTATTTAAGTCAACTGAATCATAATTTAATTCATATACAAAATTTTGTGGCTGTGCCGTTGACTATTGAGGATATTTTTCACATTCTGGGTGCAGCAACCAGGTCATGGTGGAGAATGGGCTATAATAAGTGAATGCTTATATAAAATTTCGTATTGACCGTAGAGAAGTTGCTTTGTCTGGAGCCAATCCAAAATGGAGAAACAGGTCATTATTATTATAAAAAAAACTATCATCGGAACTTAACTAACATGTAGAATTTCAACTCACATGATAAGAGGAAGTGATTCAAATTTAGCTTGCCAAGATTTGACCCATACAGACATCACAACTAACAAACATTGCTAGTTAAATAAAAAGTTGTAAAAATGTGAAGTCAGCTCAAGCCTGATACAATAATGATAATGTTTGGAAATCTTTGAGAAATCTTTGTTTATAAGTCATCCCTTATATATTTTTCATATCATTCCAAGGAAGAAGATAGTATATATGGACACGCACTGATAAATTATGTTTCCAAATTTTCAGTCAAATAACGAGGATATCTAAAATTTGATGTCTAGATTTGCATTTTTATCAGACCTTCAATACGTTTTTATATGAAATTTATGAAAACAGGATAGTTCTTAGCAATTACATGATTTTACCTAGGTACCTATTGGGTTTTCTTTGTCGTCCAACAACACAGACATATAAGGGCCAATAATAATATTCTTAATAATTAATATTTAAGGTACTTTAGTGCCATTTTTTCAATTTTTGAATTCATTTTGTTAATTGTGGGTAGGCTGTCTGTAACAACTATGTAATACCTTAGAGACATCTAACACCTCAGTCTCTCCCGTGACCATGATTGCTGTAAAGCATTCGAAACGTCGGGAACCAAAAATCAAAATAAATTCGCGAAAAAATCAAAAGATAGTTTTATTTAAAATAATATTTACGTGTTTCTCGCCAAGACTTCACTAACGTGAAGCTTTTTTTACATTCAACCTTCCGGGCGCCGCCATCTATTATAAAATAACAGTAAAATCTAATTATTATTATCCCATTTACTATTGGGATTATTCCAGATATTCTAGGGTTTATCCATGTAATTAGTTTCATCAAAATCTGTTTGGCAGCTTACATTTAATAAAGTAACAAAAAAACTAAATTTTAAACATCCATATAGACTTTTATGTTATGAATATATTTTAGTTGATATTTTTATAAATTGAGGGTTTTCTAAATTTGTAATTTACTACTAATTTATTAAGAGTCAAATTTTAAATGAAATTTTAAGACATGTTACAGAAACTGTATAATTCGAAGCCATTCTGGGCATACCAAATCGGCACTTCTCTCACGTTACGTGTTTGAACCGTTGCCAAACGCTAAAGAGTCCCTACTAGGATTGGTTTTTCAATTCTTCCGCCGATTGATTGGCGGCATTTCAAACATCCCTCAATGACGTTGCGCAGACGAAAAGCTCATACATATGCGTGTCGCCGTCAACTCTGAATACCTTACATTTGCGTAAACTGTGATGAAAGCAAATGAATCATAAAACCTACCTATTTAAAGTGACTTTAATTGAGTTTTATGTGAACACTAGTGACGTGCTCTCGCTTCGATTTATTCTTTTCTATGCCCAACACTAGTTTAGTAGTATACTAATATTATCCCACGGGAATAAATTATTATAATAGTTATTCTTATGACCACTCTGCCATTGGCTGCTGGACAAAAGCCTTCCCCATAGAGGGCCACATACACACATGCACATATGAGAATGCATGCACATATTTATATGTATTTATGTCTGTCTCACCATATAATATTAAAGCATGTAAGAATTCATTCGATTTTTTATATTAACTTTAATTCTTTTAATACGCCATCTTATTTATATTAACGTTTATTTTTGATCATTAATACTAGAAATAATGTTTTTTTTCTAAATCGCAAAATAATATTTATACATATTAAGCACATCAAAAATTTCGCTATTGTGCTGAAAGAGGGCGATGATAATTGCAATTCCTTAAGAAAAATCAGTTTCATTATATGTATGACATTGTATTATATAAGACTAGCGGCTTACCCTCGCTTTGCTCGGGTTCGTCCCTAGCTTGCTTCCCCATACAAACTTTCATCCCCATTCTCAGCCCCTTAAGGGATGATTTCCGAGATAAAAATTAAAACTATTTCACTCACTCACTTTTCATATCATGAGATTTAAAAAAAACTTATTTTAGTAAAAAGTTGTTGTTTTTTAATTTTCTGTCGGCAAAGAAATGAATAAAAAAGCCAATTCTAATATATAAATGCGAAAATATTTATTACTTAGTTTTTCCTCCTCTCAGCAACGGATGGACGCAATATAACGGAGTAACGGATGGGCATGACGTAACGTTTTGCGTAGAGATAGTTTATGGTTTATGGCAAGTGTGACATAGATAACTCTCTACATTTTAAATTGGGTGACATAAACCTAGTTCTTTTAAAAACTATTGGACTGAGGACCTGATAAAATTTGGCGCTGTCTGTGATATTATTAATTTTTTTTTGTTTCTTTTGTAATTATATGTATGTACATATGTATGTTTATATAAATATATTTATTATTGTAATTATAATTAATTAGTTGATATATTTTAATATTAAATTTATACCATTTAATTCTGTACTGTACCTACACCGCACTAAATTAACTTATTTTCTCACTTCTGAAAGAAAATGGTTTCTTGAAGAAATCTTGTAAAGAGATAAGTTATCCTTTATCAACATTCTGTTACTTTATTTTATATAACATATATATTATGGTACATAAATAAATAAATAAAATAATTTAGAACGGCCCGTCCAGGTCTAGAATTGGACTAAAGTGAATTTGGATGAGATGACAACCCCTCCCCCCCATAAAGGGTAAATAGAAACTACATTGCATTAAACTATAAATGATACTTTTCGTCCCATCATTACACCACTAATACTCGAGTAGGTTTAACGAATTATTTTAAAACACATGGTGTAATATGTATCGTTTTGTATTTAAAAGCAACTCACGTAAAACATCGCTACATTGAATTTCTATTATTTTGAATAACGAGAGCACTTGGTCGAAGCCTACTTTTTTCTTCAAATTACATCAACATCCAATGTCGATCGTCCACTGCATGATTTATAGACATTACTAGCATAACCCACGGCTTTGCTCACGCTAAGACTACAAAAAAATCTCTAAGCACGTACAAACTTTCATCCCCTATTTTACCCCCTTATAGGATAAATTTCGAAAAATGCTAAAACATGTATTTATTTAATTTTATTGATGACCTTACTTGAAATTACTTGAAAGAGATTACTTAAAACGTGGTATATTAATACGTATATTGTGATCATAAATATTTTTTGATTATAACGTGTTTTCCCATGGGAAGTAGATAATTTCCCGCGGTAAAAAGTAGCCTATGTCACTCTCCAGCCCTCCAACTATCTCCTCACAAAAAATTAAGCCAATCCGTTACTCTGTTTCGACGTGAAAGAAGGACAAATAAACAAACACACGTATACATTTTTTTTGAAAACATTGAAAACTAGCCTATAGCTCGTACCACAATGCTACTAATTTTCATGTAAGGGTAACTGAAAGGTCATGAATTTTAACTTAATATGAATGATAAAGAAACCTATGATTAAATCTTTTTAATAACCAAAGCTTAAATTTAAAAAAAAGAAGTACATTTTTTAAAAGTATATTTATTATACGTCGTATCCGTTTACCTGTAAAACTGTTGCTGCTTTTAAACTACTTTGCAACCAAAGCATCACTTTTTCCTACTTTAAA